AATAGAAAGAAAATTGGGACACATAAATTTCTTAAAATAATGACATTTTTGACATTATTGCTAATATTTATAAAGTATGGATATTTTTACTAAATATGTTATTTATTTTGACTAGTTTACTAATTTTTCCATTTTTCTATTATGTAGAAATATGAAGTTGAGGACGATCAAGGATAATTTGGTCATTTTCATGTATGTTTCATTCTAATATTCTATTTTTAAAATTGTCAAAATATTTCTTGAAGTGGCTAAATTTCCTGCATAAGTTTTATGATTATTCTCGAAACTATAAGTTGTAAGATTTTTCTAGAACTAATTCCATGATACAAGTAAATAGACACTAACACATTCTTCATTTCATTCACTCCACAAATCTCTCCCCTCTCATTTCTTATACCAATAAATTTCTCGCCATGTATTTCTAATTTGCATCCTAAAATAATACGCACTTCGATTAGGAAGATAATCATAACCTCCATAATCTCCAACTTTATAACCATTACTCTTGTAATATTTCCCTTCCATAACCTCCCTCATTATATTCATGTTAATGTCATATTTATGACTAACCTTTTATATGCCTGTATGTTACACTACAAATAGATGCATAAGGGTTCATATCGTATACACTTGAAGATTTGATTAATACTTTGATGAATAAGAAAAGCTCTCATCTCTTGTCTCCCTATTTCTATTGCTTTTTCATCTTCTATATTTCTTATCTTATTTTGCTTTATTTTCCAATAATAATGAATTTATAATTACAATACAACAAAATATCTTTTCTTAAATGTCATTTGTATCTTAACGATGTGACATTTAATATGGACCCACATTTTCCATCACATTTTCTATAAATTTTTTTATTTTTATTTTGTAGTGTGAAATTTTCATCAAACAAAAATATATATTAAACAATGACACTTAAGTGATTTATTATTATTTAAGGGCAAAATAATAATTTTATAATTAATGATCAAAATGAAAATCTAGAAGAATCCATACATGTTTTTACTTTTAAAATTGGCCCACGAAGATATTTTATAATTGTGTTAAAATGAAGAGTTTTTACAAGCAGTAATAAATACTAATTGAACTTATTTTGACATGTTTTTAAAGAAATTTTGAACTAATTAAAAATAAAATGTGTTTGAATAGTTAATATTTTGTTCCTAAAAATACTTTAAAAGATTATTGCATAAACATATTTTTAATATTATGTTACTTAACATGACCACTAAATTCGTATCTTGATTATTGAAATAATCTGTAGAATTACGTATCAATATTTTTTAATTAATTTGAAAAAATATAAAATTATGTGACTAAAAGAATGAACAGTGTTTGGCTACTAAGAAATTAATCATTTAATAATGTATTCATCAAAAGATTTTTTTAAAAAAAATCATTTCTATATAAAATATTTTCTTAACATCAAATATGATAAACTATTTAAGAGGAAAAATTTGACAAGAAAAATAATTGATATTCAAATTCCAAGGAATACTAAAATACAAACTAAAGAAAAATGAGTAGTTAAAAAATAAAAATAAAAAAAAAACAGAAAATGAAAATGTCAATAGAAAAGGGCTTGAGAAATATAGAGGAAGAAAAAAAAATTAAAAAATAAATAATAACTTGAAAAAGAGAAACAAGTATATTGGTTATTTTGTGAGGGGGTAAGATTCAAAGTTTTCCTTTACGCCATGTTATTTAGAGTGTAGTATAAAAAAATTTGTCAATGTAATTTAGAACATAACATTATTTCAATTTTTATCGTATATAGAAATAAAATTGCTTTTATGATTGCTTTTATTTTTGTGGAGTTAGAAATCAACATTTTAATAAATACTTCAATACATAGAATATAACATTATGATAATAGTTATTGAATATATAGAAATAAATTTGATTTCATGAATATTTT